TAACTAATTCTATCAATCATACATATATCCATAATCAAACTAAGTTATGAGGTACGGGCCCCGCCCACACTCGGCTAACTGGGAGATACGAGCCTCGCCCACACTCAGCTACTAACATAATCATACTGTGGGCTGGCCTTGGTGCCGTAGACCCGTTCCTACTGAAGGAAACTCACCTCGCAAGGCTAACTGCTGAAAACTCGAGTGAGGAATCTGTTACTGCTGCTCCGGAGACTCCCCGGCTATCAATTTCATAATAACACTTAATCAAAATCTGATAATCCTTTCTAGGGTAAAATGACCATTTTACCCCTGGTCAAGGTCAACTCTTGGGTCAAAGTCAACCTTCTAGTTGACCCAACTCATTGAGTTGCTCCATCAACTCTCCGATTCCTATATCCTGAAATCGCGATCTAACTCGTCGAGTCCCCCCCCCCTCCCCCGATTCGTCGAGTTTCCAGGCTACTCATAGTCGCGATCTACCGATTTAACTCGTCGAGTCCCTTCACCAATTCGTCGAGTTCTATCTTAAGATAAAATGGGACAAACCACATCAACTCGTCGAGTCCCTCTATGGACTCGTCGGGTTCCCCTGTCTGATTGAGCCATCTCAATGGATTAAGCTCCTACCCTTCAGATTCAAACTCCAAACTTCATCTACACACTGGGAATACACTTTTAAGGTTAAAGTTTCCAACTTTACCCATCCTTAGTCCTTCCTAATGGGTTTAGCTCAAACCCTAACTCTCTAGAACAAAGATCTTGGTCCATAAGCCATAATACCCTAAACCAAGGCACAACATACTAGATCTAGGATGTGAACATCAGTTGGACACGTAAAGTTCCTAGCTTTCCTTCCATGCATGACCTCTTAGGTCTAAAAAGGCCATATAAGTGCTTATAAGCTTTCATGGGGCCTCCATGGTCATAAAGTTTGCACCTTTATGCCATGGAACCCCTCTTAGATCCTAGATCTGAGATATAAGTCACTTGGGACGTCCAAATCCCAAGGACTAAGGTTTTTGAACCAAAACCCTCATAAAATGGAAGTAAATAGATCTAAGAAAAGAATAATCAATTTAGAGACTTGATTACCAGAAAATATAGCCAAAGAAGTGTAGTTTCTGGATCTACTCTCTTCCACTTGAGCCTTCAAACTCCTTATTCTGCTCCAAGCTTCAAGAACACAAAAGATTGCTCACAAATGGCTCACACACTCACAAGATGCTCTAGGGTTTCGTGGATTAGGGTTTGGGACAAGGAGGCTGTAAATGAGGCCAATGGGTGGGGATATAGATGCTTAAATAGGGTGTAAAACCCCGAAATTAGGGTTTCACTCTGCCAGGCCTACTCGCCGAGTCCAGAGCTCTTAAATTGTCGAGTAGGTGGTTGAATCCCGCGTCCAAGACTAACTTCTACTCGATGAGTCTAGGGCTTCCAACTCGTCGAGTAGCCTTTCAAACAAGAATAATTTGTAAATAAATGCATACCAGAGTCTGGGCGTTACAATAACCATGCTAGTGACCCATTCGGCCTGTAACGACGTTCTTCAGGCGTCGGAATGTTATGCCATTTGTTACCCCAGACCTGCCGGTCTAACTGTAGCTAACAGTTTAGGTGCGGATTGTTAGTCCCGTATAGATCGATACACAAGTATCACGCTCTCCCTACAAGAGATTCTGGTTACAATTACAGGACTTTATGCAGTACTTTAAAAGTACCGTAATGCCGAATGTCTCACAAATTTATTCATTAACAACTTTACTTAAAGTGAAATGAAAACCCTTTTTGTTGTAAACGTGAGTGTTACCCTTTCATAGTGAAAACGACCCATAAACATATCTATTATAGTTTATCATAAATGTTTTGTAGTAATGTGAAACCTTTATATGCATGATTATCACCTTTTTATGGAAATAAAATGGCATGAAAATACTAAGTATACTTTTCCTTAATATTATACACTTTGCTCAACATGTTACAAAGTGTTGATAAATCATAAACCATTTTCCTAGTTATTAACTCTTCTGTCCATGTTTTTAGAAAATTTATAGAAAAATCATCGCAAGTTGAAATCTGGATCCGTAAACTCTAAGAGTTTAGAAAATGAGTCTAATTTGTCCATAATTTTTATTATGACCTTTAGTGGTCTCTAACCAGTGTGAAAATGTTCATTTTCACTGACTGGTTCGAAAACTGCTCTGAAATGATAGACAGTTTTGTAAAACTCGCCATAAATTGTAGAAAATTCGTATGAACGCGTGCGAGTAGTCCTTAGAAAGGTATAAACCTGAACTACTTGAATATTGTACAGTTTTGAAAAATATTAATTTTAAGATGAGTAAAACAGTCCGTGAACAGATCACAACTTTTCTGTGGAAAGCTGTTATTTAAGTTTAGATTATATTTTAGTGATGTAACTTGTATTCCCCCCCCCCCCCTTTAAAACTTGAAGAAAAATTGAAAATGTAGGGGTATGAACTCATCTTATGTGATTTCTTGTAGAGTGGAAGTTTGAGGATGAAGAGTTTCAAGTCAAGAACACTTGAAGATGCTCGAAGGTTTTGATGATCCTAAAGAACACTTGAAGATGCTCGAAGGTTTTGATGATCCTATGAACGATAATGTGTTGATATGTGTGTAAATGATTCAAGATTGTTATGGAGTTATGTAGGGATATTAGAAGTTGTAAAAATACTTACCAAAATGAGGAAAATATCCCAAGAACACCTCCAAAAACGTGGCTAAAATGGAGAGAAGATGAGAGATCTTTTGTGGAAAGGAAAGTGAGATTTTGGAAGAAGTATAGAAAAGTGAGAAGTGATTTTGATCTCCAGGAGATTTCCTTATATGGAAGGAAGGATGATGCAAGTGGATTAGTTAGTATGTGTGAAGGGATAATGATTTGACCAATGGAGACTTGAGAAGTGGCATAAAGGTGACAAGTTGGGATCCACTTGACTCACTTGTGCCCACTTGCGTAATATAATATCTATTTAACTTTAGATATTTCTTAATACAAAAATATGATTTATAATTAATAAATCTTCAAGATGTGGATAAAATACGAGTTTAGGGGGTCTAACATGTGAAAAAAATGAGTTGGATGAAAATCTCACGTCAAAAACTCCAAAAATGGACGAAAAGTGCGAAACTGCCAAAAATTTGGAATGGGAAGCGAAAGGGTTCGCTGCTGAGAGGGTTCGCATCCTGAGAGGGTTTCGCATCCTGAGAGGGTTCGCATCCTGAGAGGGTTTCGCATCCTGAGAGGGTTCGCATATTGAGAGGGTTTCACAGTGAACTTGTCGGTTCCCATTTTCTCCTCCCGTATCGAGTGATTTTCAACAATTTGAAGGGTTGGGATGGTGCGGGTGTTTATGAAAAAGTTGAAAGAGTTTTGAGAGAGATTTGGGAGAGACTTGGGAGAGAGAGAGAGGGAGATAGAGAGAAAGAGATTGTGTTTGTAACCTGAGTTATGGTTTTTGGCCCGTAGTGTTAAGATTATGGACTCCACTACGTCGTGTTATGAATGTTATCAATCCCCAAAGGATACATGGTTGAGTTTTATTTAGTTGTTACGTTACTCACCCTATTTAGGGTTTAGATTTTTGAACGTTTGAAACTTCCGAGTGATATTTTTTATTATAATAGTAAGTTTTACATTAGGAAACATTGCGTAAACCCCAACATACTAGTACTTGTTGAGTTGACCGAGTTGACTTGTTGACTTTGTTTGACCCTAAGTTGATGGTTGTCACATTGTAGGTGGTTATTTAGTGATAATGGAGGCAACTGGAACCCGATGGTGGTCATGATGATATTATGCACGTGGTGATGAGGGAAACATGATGGTGTTCTTTGCATAATTTAACTAGTTTTATGTGACTTTGGCATCTTTGGCGAGTCTTTAGTCATATTCTCCATGGCTAGGTCTTTACATAATTTATAATACACACATGCGAGGTTTCGATTTTCAGATCAATAACTCAAGACACATACACATCATAGTTATATTTTGCTTTTCAAATAAAAAAAATACAAGAACACACACATCAAATCTAGAATGTACACACATACATCAGATATGGACACACAAGAACACATGCAAACATCAGATATGAAACATAAGATGTTTTTGTTTGACTTCTGAACAAGATGGAGGCCGAAGCAGGCCATCATGTTTTTTCAACCCTAATTTGGAACAAAGATGAAGAACGAATACGACATCTTCAGTGACCTTGGAGCCTCCGATGACTCCTCCGGCCAATGACAAACTTGGAACATGAAAATTATGAACCTCATAACTCATATTCAGTGTGTATGTGTGTGTGTGTTTGTTTGTATGTTTCAAGATTGTTTCAGATGTGTGTGAAGATCTAAACTCAAGAGCGCAGTTGTAGATGTTGGTTGAGCCCTGGAAAATCGAGAACTCAAGAACTCGTATGCATATTTATCTTGAACTCAAGAAGTCATATTCAAAACGTATGTATATGTGTGCACATTTTTGTGTGTTGATCCCCCAAACATTGTTTCCTTCTGTCCCAACTATCATCAATGGAGAAGGGGGGGGGGGGGGGTCTTTCTTATTGATTTCTCATATCTGTCTTAAGATCACAAAACTCACAACATCAATAACAAATCATCATAATCTCGTCTTAAGAATAACAGACAACTCAAGAACAAATCATCATAAACTTTCCATCTAAACCCACACACACATACACATTGTATGAAACCGTCAGAAAATTCATGTTTGACCGGAAAAGACGATCGAAAAATTAATGTTGGGCAAAAAACCTATATTGATATGTCATCATGGTATTTTATGTACATTGTAATAAATTAATGGTAATATATATTTAAAAAAATACATAAATACTGAAAAAGTTTATTATCTTCTAAATCTTTAACCCTATGTCTAACATTAAAATATATTAGCCCCGATATGAATATGAAAATGATAAAAACATTGCAATTTATTTCAAAATTTCCTTTTATATGATATATATTTGATATCTCATTACATTAGATTCAATCCATCTAACCCGCTGGTAGTGTAGTCGTCGGTTAAAGGGCAGGGGAGAAGGGAGAGCAGGCAAACACGAAAGATGCATTCCTTCGGTTACAGAGCCAATGCTCTCCTAACTTTTTCTCTCACGATTCTAGCTCTCATGTGCGCCATGGCTTCTCTTTCGGACAATCTCAACTCTCCTTCCCCCACTGCAAGTGTTAAGGTCTCTCTAAAAACCCTAATTACTTGATATTCTGATTTAATTTTGTTTCTTATGAGTACCAACTTTGACTAATTACATTTCTATGATTTGTGCTTCACAGGTCTTGAATATCAATCGGTTTCAGAAGAAATCAACTGGGGATGACGAGGTAGTTCATTATTCATCTTTTTTATTTGACGAAAGGTAGTTGATTTGGAATAGTGAAGTGATCCGTCCGATTCTAGGGCTTTTATTTGACGATATTAAGAGAATTGAGTGGTTGAATTTGATCTATTGACATTCCGATGACTTTTGTTATGCAAAGCTACGATCTTTAATAGTGAATGATTTGGGAAGATTGAGGTTAATTCATGCTTTATCTTGTGAAATTAGGAACATACCCATAATCGAATGTATTTGTTCAACTTGGAGATAGGAAAAACACTTTAAGTTAACCCATGGAAGTTCAAGCCTACTTACCATTGATTATAGCTTGATGGAAAATCTATATGAAGTTCTAAAATATGAGCAAAGTCGATCTGGTGTTTGATGATGTGTGGATTAATGGAAATTAACTCTGTTGTTAGATCAGTGACCAGAAGCTCTGTTATAATTTCCATTGAAGCTCTCTAATGATTTTCCATGTTCTCTTCATTGCTGCTTACTTTTCACTAGTTATATGGTGTTTGCATAATTAATCATGACAAATTGGGGATTATTGAAACCAGTATATACCAGTTTTGAAAAATTAATCTACTCATTCTTATTTTCATCTTCCATAATTCAATGCAGGTTGGGATTACACTAGATATATCTGCAGACCTACAGTCATTGTTTACATGGAACACAAAGCAAGTTTTTGTATTTCTAGCTGCTGAATACAGTACTCCAAAGAACATCCTTAATCAGGTAAAATTTAAACACAATCATGCATCTTCTTCCACTTAACTTAAACTTACTAAATAAAAGCATTCATCTTTGAATTTACTATTATGCCCCCACAGGTTTCATTGTGGGATGGTATCATACCAGCACAAGATGGTGCAAAATTTTCTATAAAAACCAAGAACAAGTACAGGTTCATTGATCAGGTAAATCTACTTTTTTTCTTTTTCAATGTAGTTCACATATATATATATATATTTACATTTATGTTTTTTGTTTTATTTATTTATTTGTTTTTGTTACATATATGATATTATACAGGGAAGCAACCTTCGTGGGAGAGATTTTAACTTGACATTACACTGGCATGTGATGCCGAAAACTGGGAAGATGTTTGCTGACAAATTAGTCCTGCCCGGATTTCGCCTGCCCGAGTCATACAGATGACCATGATTTGATAAATTCATAATTGCTGTTTTTTCTTGGTTTAAATGAACTAGAGATGAGAAGAGGGTAATTTTCTGTTTTCAAATTTGTTAGTTTTGAAATTATAGTTTGGTTTAAACTTTAAACTAGATGGTTTCTATGTTTCAATACTGTTTATCTTTTGGTTTTTATTGTTTGTTGCTTGAAAGTTGAAAGATAGTTTGAGAATTAACCATGGAGAGGGCTGAGGGCATCAACTATTTTGTTTTCAACCCCCTTTTTTTTATAACAGATTTCACTTTCATATCCATCACCTTTTGTAAAAAAGGAGGTGATGTTCTATTTTCTATCAAGTCTATAAATCAAGGTATATGTCAATTGTCATACATCAATTGAATGATAGCCAACAACGTCTTTTTCATATAATGGAAGCGATATTGGTGGTAATGCTTTACTGATGAAGACAACTGGATGACCATTTTGCACCAATCAACGTTGCTCTGATGCACTGGTGCCTATTACCAAAGGAGGGTTAAAATAAGAGGTAGTAAAAGGTTGACCCGGGTTGGGTTTGGGTTTGGGTTCAACCAATTGGATTTAGGTGGTGTTTGTTTTTTTGGCAAAATGTCTTTTTGCCTTCTTATGTTGTGGGCACAAAGACATTTTAGGAAAAGACCATTCGAAAAGGAAAAGATTATTTGTTTTTCAAAAGACAAAAGACAAAAAATATATTTTTGACCACTTTTTCCAAAAGTTAAAAAAAGAATTTTGATTTTAGAGAACGTTTTTCTAAGTTTTAACTATAATGTGATAGTATTTCTTTTTCCACCACTATCCGACCACCATCTCCGCCACCACCATCGTCGCCATCACCAACCAAACACAATGGTGTCGTTTATGAACACTTTAAAAACAATCATTTTTTATGAAGATTAAAGAGATGGAAAAAAAATGGTCTACGTTTTATTCTGCGCACATGAAAAAAAAATTGAATACATTTTACTTTTTAAAAAACAAACACCATCTTGCTAAACAAATTGAATATCTCAATTCAATATAGCCCGATTAATTGCATGGGTTGAGATTCCAATCCAACACAAGTTAAAAAAATGGGTTTGATGTTGTGTTGAGTTTTTTAAGGTTAAGTTCAAAATTAGACATTAAATTTGTGTTTATTTAGTTATTAAACTTTGTTTAAGTTCTAAATTGTTATTGAATTTTTTTTTTAATCAACCATTATATATACTATTAATTGCTAAAATGGTGGTGGTCAGGAAAGTTTTGCGTTTCTTATTTCTGCCACTTTGTTTCTTTCTTTCCTACTTTCGGCACACAAGCTTTTGTTTTAAAAGCTTATATTTTTTTATTCACACCGCCTTAAAAATTGGGTGAGCTTTATCTTTTCCTCCCTTTCAATTCTGCGCTTCTCTCTCTACACCTGCAAGAAACCTCTTCTCCAACCTTCTTCTACCTTCCTTTTGATTAATTTCTCTGTCTTTGTTTTCTCCATTTCGACCTCCCGCTTCCCAGTGATACAGGTTTTTTCCGGATTCCGATCCTTCTTCTTCGCACCAATTCTTCGTCTCCTTCCAGCTTTATCCCTCTAATCCCTGTTCGTCTTCTTCACCCAAAAATCAATTTGTACTGGCTTGGTTTCATCAAAACTCGATCGCTCACCACAGCCCGATTCTCGAACTCAAATCGAAGGTCGGGATTAGGGTTTTTGTTTTGCTGGATTACGGCTCAATCTTCATACAAAATTTGATATTTGGTGCGTTCTTTAACACAGCCGTTGTTTCATCTCCTCATAATTGCAAATAGAAGCTACTGAAGAGCAATAATGGTGAGAAGAAGAAGATAATCAATTACGAGCTTACGTTCAACGTTATGGCCATTAGAATTGGCGTGAACTTCCCAAATATTCAGGTACGATCCTTTCTCTTCTTTGACTTCGCCTCTTTTTTCTTATCTCAACTTGCTCCCAATTTCATTCCATGTCTCTCTTGCGATTTCCGCCGCGCTATCCAAATATTTACCCCCCCCCCCCCCCCCCCCCCTCTCTCTCTCTCTCGTTTAGGGTTTTTCAGTTTCTTTCCTCAGGAAATTGAAGTTACGTGTATTGATGCCTGATGTCCTGCTGACGGAGGTCGAAGTGGTGGCATTGAAGTCTGTTTTCGACCTCCACTGAAGGATGTTCTTAAACTTGCTTATGTTGACTAATCTAAACAGATCGTTGATAACATCACTGAAGCTATTATGGAGAGTAACGTTTATGATAAGAATAGGGATCCTTCGCAACATCAGATTCTGAAGGTTTTTTAACAGAGAAATCGGTTTCAATCCTCCCAGAAACTTCTCTCGCTGAATCTCTGCTTCCGAGGTTCGTTCTTCCCCAGATATATTTACGATTGTGAAATTAATGGGAAGTTTTATATTGAAATCATGAAATTGATACAGAGTTTTATCTTTAAGTTGTATTTACAGTTTATTTCAGCTCAAGTTTTACAAATTTTAAATTGATTGTGCACCTTGTGTCAGGTTCTGATGTTGCTTCTGGTCATGTAGACAACATATTTCAAGCTCGAATCACGTCTTCCACTCATGACATAACCATAGTTACTTCTGCTGCTGATGGCCAGGTTAGTTGTTTCATAGATTATGTCTGTTGTACATCATCACTGATTTGATTTTCCAGCTTACCTGTTCTTAAATTGTCCGATTTAGTAATAGGAAGATGGGAGCTTAATTAACAAACATTCTTGAATATGTGACTGAAAATGAAACAGAAGAGGAGAGAAAGAGATGAGGGGAAAGTGGATTTAAACAAAGCGTGTAACATAGATGAGAGGGACAATAATAATTGATATAATACAATTATAAGATAGATCACAAACGATCTGTTTTGGCATCTCTGATGCTTACAGGATGCTATTATCATTTTTTTTAGTTTCTTAGATTCTACCAAGTACCAAATGTATAATAATTCGGTACCTAATAAAATTTTCATAGAGATGAATTTGCAGGATGCTATTACATCTGAGAAAATGACCATCTTACCCTTCAATCTTCATAATCCTTTACCTTTATATTGTAGGTAACAAAAAAAAAGAGTGGTTGAGTTCTTTATGTTTATTTTTATTGCACTTTCCCTCTATAGGGATTGGCAAACTCAAGATCATAGATTGGATCATATTCAGAGGAACATCATTGGTGCCCGTTTCATGTGAAGTCATCAATGACAAAAAGAGTATTGATTTTTTGATGAGTATCGATTAGTCTAGGAGAAACAGGTTGATTGTATTTGGATCTCCTTTAACTGTAAGAAAGTCAAACTTTGTTATGTTGACTTTTTTTTTTTATAAATATTTTTAATATGAATGTGTAACCTGAAGTTCCTGAAAGCAATCTGGCCTTGAAAACACCTTTACCTTGAATGCTACACTACTGCCCGGGATGGGGATTGGGATCGAGATGAGGCGTACCAATTTTTTGGCAGGTAATACGGGCAGATGGTTGTGTTACTTTACATGGAGAAAGAGAAGCGTATTTTCGGGTAGACCTGACCCAAATGAAAAAATCCGGGCAGTCACCATCTTCTTAATTGATGTTGACTTTTATGAATATCCATAAATAATGTGCATGTTAGATTTAAGTAAAAAAGAAACATGATTACATATTTGTTTTTGATTTTTTTTGTGATACATCAATATTGATGGCGTGGACAAGACAATGGATGAGATAAATGAGCAAACAGAGAACAAACAAATTCAGGAAGCATTGTTAACACCAATTGGTGTAGCAGCTGATTTTGATGAGGTAAAGTAAAAGAAGTCTTTTTAGCTTTATAAAGAGTTATTTAATTTTGAAAAAAAATCTTGATTGTATAAATATGCATGATACGTTGGAGACAGAACTTGAAAATTTAGAAGATCCGGAGCTGGAAGAATAGCTTCTACAACCTGCCACCACCGCACCTGTAGCTCTACTCCATCTACCTTACAGGTAGACAATCAACAGCAGAACACATGTTTTCCATGCTCCCAACTCCCAGGTAGTTGACATCTAAAAATTTGGCATATTTTTATTAATATGGAATGACTATTAAGACAATAGCTTATACTTTTAACTTTTGACATTCATCCATCCCAATTAACCCTACAAAAGACTCCACTATTAGGAAGTTAGTTATAATATTGATGGTATTTTGTGTGCAGGATCCGTCTCTCGGATTTTGTTAAACGAAGTATGTTGCTATTCGTATGAACACCCCTTCTGTATATGTAATATGTTTTTATTAATATTATACTACGGTCTACCATTTGGTACAACTTAAAATAAGGGGAAAAAAACCAAACACAATGATTCCCCTCTAGTTTATAACATCAGTCAATAAGGAGAATTTTGAATAAAAAACAAGTTTAGTAATCTTGTACAAATTAAACAAAATTTAGTCATTATAGTGTTTAAATTTAACACTTGTTTCCAAACCGTTGAATTCAGATTGAGTTAAAATGTAAATAAAATAAATTACAAACTCCAATACTTTTTAATAGTTTGAAAAAATACAATCATATATAGGGGTGTCCATGGACCGTTTTTTTTTCCAGTAAAACCAAAGCCAGACCATTAGTAACACTTTTTGTTAATCGAAAACCGAAGCCGAACTGTTGAAAATCAGAACCTAAACAAGCTGAACTGTTACTAACAGTTTGACTTCGGTTTTGTTTTTCGGTTTGAGATTTTTAAGCTCATTTGAGTCAGACCCATTAGACTAATTTTGTCAAAAAAAAAAAAAAGCAATCAAATCTGCCAAAAAAATTAAAATGTGTCAAATATTGTTCAATACAAACATGCAACCCAAAACTGTCCCAAATATTCACATATAGAAGTAAATTATTCCAATAATATTGCAAATGTTTTATTTCTAGATAAACCGACTTCCACTTTTATATATATATATATATATATATATATATATATGGCTTAGGGAATATGTGGTTGTTATGTACCTAAGCTTATATATAGAACCCTCCAAACTATGTAGTTGTGATCCATATATATCCATACTAATCATGTTATCTTGTTTACTATTCTTCCTTAATCATGTGGCATACTAAATCGATCGAATGTATGTTCTTTTTCTTCATTTTTGTCTAATAACTTAAAACATTAAAATTCATGACCATTTAATCAACCCTACTAAATTTTAAATGAAAACTAATAGAATTAAAAATGAAAGAAGAAACATGCAATAACTCAATCATGCTTTTCACAAATCATTCGATATAGTTTTTCAATTGAAGGACAAAACGTTTAAGTTATATTCGTTAAAAAGTATTGATTTTCACTTTCCCTATAAACTTCAATGATGTTTTGCAAAAAAAAAAAAATATATATATATAATTGTTCTTTTTCATTCCATAATTTAACTTAATTCAAATGTATTCTATTAAAACAAAATTAAGAGAAAATGAAATTGTATTTGTTTTGTTTAAAATTATGTCATTTAAAAGATTTTATACCTAAGCTTACATAAGAGTCATCTCTCTCTCTCTCTCTCTCTATATATATATATATATATATATATATATATATATATAGAGAGAGAGAGAGAGAGAGAGAGAGAGAGAGAGTGTATTGTTTTTTGGGGTTGAATGGCTCTTTTTCAGGTACATCAAGTTACATGAATTCAAAGAATTGACTATATCCATGTTTAGTCTGCCTAGCGACTATAAGGTCATAGGTGAGGGTCAGAGGTGAATCCGTTTCTAGAACTCAACACGTGAGACGGGAGATGACACATCCATTATGAGTTTTGGCTTTCACTCATAGATGATTCGGAACATGTATAAAAGTAGTTGGTATTAATTTCATTCTCTTTATATAACAAATGTGAATCAATTTCTATATTTTTTTTTTGTTATGCAACAAGTACCATGGGTAACTACCTACTGACATACACTTGGGGTTCTAAATAACGTGTCATAACGGCGCCAAAACGTGTCATGACGTTGAGGTGTGGTGTAGACGTCCCGAAAACGACCTAAGCGGCTATGTAAAGTTTGGTGCCCAAATAATGTGGTAAGACGCAAAAAGGCACGCTTTTGTGTAATGACTTTCTTTTTCTTTTGGGCCTTTTATGGAGCCGAGGTTCTGACAATCTTTGCGAGTAGTCTGGAGTCATCGCGGGTGAACCTTTTTGGCCATAAAGAGGTTTTTGTTCCTCCTTAGATTTGATCTAAGGATATAACATACTTTTGTAATGTTCACCGACTTTTTGAAAGACGACATTTTTGTAAACTTTTAGTATGATTGTAAATCGGTGTATGTTAGATTAAATGTATATCGACATGTGAAAACATTAGGTTTTTGTTAATATATGGTTTGTTTATATAATTTGATGATAGTAAAATATATAGACATATATAAAATTATAAAATATATTAAAATTTTGCCGCATTGCCATGCCTTGAAAAACGCCAAGGCCTTGTCATGTCTCGCAAGGCTTGAGGTTTGGCTATGCTGTTAAGTTACGCTTTACGTTATTTACGATCATGCATACACTAAATCCAGTTGATTACTGCATGGGATAAAATCGAGACTCATAAATTAGGATAATTTAGGGAAAAAACAAGTTAACCATCCAAGGAATGATATTTGCTTCGAAGGTACAATTAAATATATTGTTAGTTTAGTGGATAATTTCACATTCAAACATCCCTAATTAACATGAATCTATTAGATCGCACATAAGTGCAACTTATTTTTCTTTCTTAAACGCCAAAGCATGCATTCAAGCATACCTAATTTCACCACGTGTTTAAAACACGTGTATTGATTAGTTTAAAATGGAACTGAAAATACACCCATGATGCTACTAAAAGTTGAAAATAACATAATCGTTCATTAGAATACATGTTTGATCATAGTACATATATCGATTATGATTTAATTAAACTAACAAATACGAGAAAAAAACATGTAATAAAATACGAAGATTAATAACAATAGAAGCCAAGCTTGTAGAGTTTATTTGGCAATCCGAAGGTCTTTATAGCAAACATAGAAACATTGACAAACATCCTTACGTTGATCATCGCATTTTCCCCATCCTTTATCATGCAATTTTGCACACAATTGGTCGCATGACTTTGGTGAGCATGAAAGAGGTGGCTTAGACACTTGTTCATCTTTACATATCAAAGTCAACTTGCAGTTCACACCTATTTGATCATCAAATATATGTAAATCTCGTTATGAATTGACTTTGAATGCCAAAGTTCAAAATTTCAATCACAAAACTAGTATGTATTCCTTAGTTTTCTTTTAGTCTTGTTAAAAGATATATATCACAGTATATAGAAAAATATATATTGATGAGATCATGGACTAGATTGTTTCAAACTTAACTTGTATACACATTCTATATGTCTTTGCAATTTGCTTATTCAAATATCAATGCATTCACATACACTAAATATACAACAGAGATACATTGGCTTTATTGTAAATGAACCATATCACAATTTATTTTGTGAAGTGACATGTTTGACCTTAAAAACCCCTTCACCCATAAGTTAGTTTTCAAGGTCAAACTTAGAAAAACTGGCCAGGAAATTTGATACACAATAGTATAAAAGTTGTTTAATTTTTTTTAACAGTATCTCATAAGATATACTAAACATAGAATACGATGTGTAATTGTTGTCATGATTTTTACAAAAAAAAAAAACAGATAAATTTTGAAATGCTAAATAAAGATATTTTACTTCAAGAAGACAACAACATATTAATCTAACCGAGAAGAGCTCTAAACATGCGTACCAAGAAATGGGTCAAATAGCATGAGGATTGCCAAAACTGCTACAAACAACCTCATTATTGAAGGTTTTAAGTTTTGTTTACAACTTCAAAGAGAGGGAGATTGGGTGCTTCTTTATCTAATGAGTTTTTAAAAGCTGAAAATTTTCAGTTTCTTTATAACCTGAAACTACTTTATTTAATGAATAATTAACTCTTTTGTCTTTCAGTTTTAGTTTATAGCTTAATTAGGTGTTTTAATACAAAAATTGTTTGTATAAAAATGTCAATTTTTTCTTTAATAACAAATTTAACCTAGTGAGTTTAAAATACGTGAATCTAGTAAAATAGCACACACTCCGTTGAAAATCTTGGAAATAAGTCGGTATCACTTAAACCCATGTGCATTAATTTTCAATTATAAAGAACCGAAACCGAATGGTTTTTGTCATGTATTGAAGACAAAAGTGACAACTTTTTATCCCACCATAAGCATGCCCTTCTTCTCATTATCATTAGTAGTCCCAGAAAGTTAGTCAAGTTCGAGCTTACCTCTTACAACTTACAAAGATGCAACAATGGGAGTATAGCATGGAATGATAGTCGGAAAAAGTGGCGGGCCCAATCCCCGAAGGATGCATGGATGTAAAAATTCCCATGCGTGGTACCACAATGTTTTCTTAGACCATGTAATGTAAGCGATGATGGCCTTGATGGGGATAACCAAAACTGTAATTATATAGACAAAAATAATGTTTCTTGAGTTTTCCATTACAAGGAATTCATTTATGTTAAATATAAATGAGTTCTCAATTGCACGCTACGGCTCCTAGAATTGCATCATACATTCTGAGAGGCGGACACAGGAATGTCTAGCAATAGTGACACCAAATTTTTTTCCTGATCAAATATAATAACATAGACCTTAAATGAGTTGAGAGTGATGGACCTAATAAACTGAGTTGAGCCCAAACTTAAAAACACAAATGAGCTTGATATTTGACTGTTAACCGAGTCGAGTTCGAGCCGAGCTTAGGTTCGTTTAAGCACACCTGATAAACAAGTCAAGCCCAAACCAAGCTCGAGCCAAACTCGAGCTTTGAAATTTAATCTCGAATCGAGCCGAGCTCGAGCTCGAGCCCCATGAATTTAAACAAGTCGAGCCCGAGCCTCCCCGAGTTGGAGCTCGGCTCGGATGGTTTACCCCTATTCGTTTTCAGTTCTTTATAATTTCCCCCCAAATTGATAAAATACTTGTTCTTTTTTAGGACAAGAAGGGTTTAAGCATGGGCAGGTTTGTTAATATTTCATCTTTAGCATTGCATTTAGAAGCTAAAATCATTCATTTTTATATATTTTCAGTTATTTCTAGTCTATCGAGTGAACATTTTTATTTGCACACTTTATGGTGTTTTTAAGGTGTATTTGAAGATTGGAATGCACATGGAGGACCTAAACGAAGCTCGGGACAAAACTTGGAAGCAAACGGATCGGAAATGAAGAAGTTAAAAAAAATAAGACGGGCCAAAACATTAAATTTCACCCTGGGCGTGTTGAGCTGTCAAAAATAGACATGAAATTCCACAACAGGCGTGTTGACCATCTCTCCAGTCGTTGACTTCATTCCACATGGAGCGTGTGGATTTGCACTTATTTCGAGATCCATCTACAATCCATTGATTTCTATAGTATTTAATGAATTATCGTATTAGTATTTCACTCCGTACAACTTTTCCATTTACTTTCCATCATACATTTAACTCTAAAAAATTTCAATGTAACATATTTGAAAATATCTACAAAATATGTTTTTCTATTGAATGTCAATTTGGCGTCACGATTGAATTTAATCCATTAAATACTAACATTATTTTTCACGGTCATTCAACAATTACATTAAATTATGCATTATGAATGCTCTAAGGTTGTGTTTGGCACATATAAATTAGTTTTTTTTTTAAGTTATTTCAATTTAGTGTTTGGTGAAACCACTATAAGTTATGTAAGTTATTTTTTAATAAGTATTTGAGATGGTTTATTGATAAATTATCTTACCACATTCTCTTCTTTGTCAATTCCAATTTTTATCCAAAGGTTCTTTGCCACACATGAGAGAGAGAGAGTGTGTGTGTGTGTGTTTCTTGCCGCATGCGGCCAAATCACATTCGAAATCGCATGGTGTTCCCACCAAGTGATGTGAAAACCGTGGGTGCTATTGCACCTACACCCTAGAGCCTTATATGCCCAAAATACTCGATATAAGCACAGCCCAAACACACATTGCTAAGCTTGGCTATTAAATCATTTAGCTTGAAGGTTCCTTAAAATGGCCTAAACGCCTCATTCATGAGAGCTTGGAAAGTAAGAGGGAGCAATAATGGAGTCAAAAGGCTACAATAAATCAATAATGAAGTCAAAAGGCCAAGTTTAAATAACGTTAGACACTTGGGAGCAATGTCAAACCTCAAGCTTTATCGACCATGGCGAGATACGACGTTTGTAAGACGTGACTTAAGGCAGTAATTTTGTATATAATTAATAATTATATATATATATATATATATATATATATATATATATATACACTACTATTTTTCATTTTTATATACATATATGATTTAAGACGATACTTTGTTAAAGCTTGATCTCAAGTAGAAACATTGGAGTCATGACAAATTTTTTAAAACTTGGGCATTACTAAGAACAGTTTTGATTCCATAAAATATCCTTTACAGCCTCTCACTATTACACAATCTAAATCTAATAATTTTTTTTTTTAAAAAGAATCTTATTATAACTGAAATGATTTACTGTGTAAACCGTAATACAACAATACATTGATTAGAATTGTAACTTTGCAATGAGTAGACTTAATGCTATAAAGAACACATATAACCCAACAAGACAGAATCCCCAAAACCTTGGAACCTGAAATCTACACCATGTCACAACCAACAACGACCCCATAAGGCTCAAAACCAAAAACACAAACGCCACCACAATACTAACATGAAATTCAAGCTCATAAGCCTCTGGATAAACATTAAACGTCTGTATAACCAAAGCACTTCCAAGCCCAAAAAGCATATTAAACATGGGTCCAGCAAAGCATCCAGCCATAGCCATGGCAGGTTGCCCTGCTTTTGCCACAGCAACATCCGTCACTAGATCCCCTACTGAGTTCCCCCATGCCAACACAGTCAACCCTAGCAGAGAGTGCGGCACCTCCAGGAGTGACCCTAAGGCCGCCAGACAGTTGAGAAGCTCTCCGGCCATGGTGGAGATCCAACACACACTCATGATGAATCCCATTAGAACTATTGGCAGTTGCTCTGTTTTGGGGGGCTTTTTTCGACTATGCAATGGACTAGTGATAGTGATGAGGTCCCAAAGAGTAGGATTAACCAGAGAGGGAGATGGATGTTAGGAAAGAGAAATGAAATTGGATGATTTAGAGGGATGAAGGATTTGCAGGAGTACATTAGAGCGAGAGGACATAACGCAATGTTTGCAGATCGATAGAATCTGTTCCATTCTGAAGGTGATGATTGTGGGATTGTTAGGTTTAACATTATTCTCACTGGAACTTCCCATGTTTTTGATATCTGTTTAATCATGAAACTCATTCAATGTTGCATTCAAACAAGATATAGAACCAAAAAGAGGATGTATAGTTAATAGTTACTCCATGATCAAGAACATACCTTGTTAAAAGCTTGTCGAATCCCAGAGGTTGTCTTCTTCTTGGTAAAATCCATTGAATTACTTCCATTTTCAGGGTCAATTTCCATGGAACCTTTATGATCCTGAACTTCACTACCACCACGCTTCAATTTCCCACCATTATCCATCCCTAAATCCATCCAAAACACAAAACCAACGAAAAACAGATAGAACCCTACGAATCCCACAGCTTGCCATAGGTAAATCTCAGCACTAAGATACACATAGAACAGAAACAACGCCGCCGTCAGATAAAACAACACGTCCCTTATAAAAGGCGCAGGGGAGACGGCGAAGGGAGCTGCGTAGATCGCGACAAAACCAACGACGAGAGCTGAAACGAAAGTCCCGGCGGATAAAATCGCACCGAATCCAGTTCGGGGGTTTCCGCCACCGACGGCTGCGACAGATGCGAACACATCAGGAGCGCCGTTTCCGAGTGCAAGAAGAGTGACTGCACCCATACTAGGGGATAGATTCAAGTGAGTGGATAGTTTAGTGACGACGACGGAGAACTGATCTTGGGCGGTTTTGACGAGGATGTAGAACTGTAGGACGACGGTGAGGGAGAGAAAGGGGACTGAGAGAAATGGGTTTTGATTGAAGTGACAGAAGTGGAAGGAGAAGTAGTTGAGGAGGCCATTGGAGTGGGCGGAGCAGTGGAGGGTGGAAAAGGAGCAGCGGCGATCTTGTGGGATTTGAAGAATGTGTGAACAAGTGGTGGTGGTGGTGGTGTTGAGGAGTGACCTCCGGTGGATTTGGGTGGTGGGGAGACCCTGGTGATTGTTTGATGAGGGGAATTGAAGGAGGAAGAAGAAAATCAAAGTGAGGAGGATGATGAGGTAGGTTGATGCGGTTTTGGGGAAGGAGAAGACCGCCATGCCATCCCCAAAATCCTGCTTTCGATCGGAGTCTGGCCTTGAAAGTGTTTTTGATTTCTGTATACGCGTTTTGCCAATCAAAAATCATATGATATCAATTAACAACGGAATAATTTATAAAATATAAATAATATTTCACAACGTTTATATTTATTTTATTTTTCTAATGGAGTTTATAAAAATTTCGTTATCAAATAAGTTTATTTTGATTTAGAAAAAATATTACTAATATTTATAATTTAACCAAGTTATCCCATAGTATTTTTATTTGCAAATTACCCCTAATAGCATGGCATACTTGATTATAGAAATTTAGATTTATTTAAGAACAGATTAATTAAGGTCATGTTTGGTAGAAATAAACTAACCTATTGATGAGCTAGTTTGAAATAGCTTATTAACAAACTAGCTTATTGATAAGTTATCTTATAAGCTATAATAATGACTTAAAGCTCTTATTCACAAACTAGGTTATTGATAAGCAAGTTTACATGCTAAAAGTTAGGGACAAAACAACTAGTAAGGAAGACATCATACCTAGGCTAAAATTTCATCTAAGATGAAAACCAACATATTTTTCCTTCTTGTTTTATGTTCATTAAGAACTTTAAAAACATTAACATGATTATAGTAGTAACCCTTAAGACACAGTTACAGGAACAAAGTAAGTGATCTTGTCATTCTATGCATTTCATGTGCTATTATTTTTAGTTAAGGTTCAACCCTTTCAATTAACTAGTACATAAATCCCTGACTTTGTTTGGATTTTATTTGTTTTCAACACTATATAATAAAGTTGTCAAAATCACGATCTTGATTGTAGGATCTTACGATATTAGATATAAAAAACTTAAAAACGAGCCGGAGCGTATACAGATCATATTTGGTGTAGGATTGTAGGTAAGATCGTAAGATTGTAGGGAGAATCGTAGAATCGGGATCTGATCTGATCCTACCTTCCATTGATTTTTTTTTTTTTTGGAAAAATGAATTTACTATTTTATGACTTTTACCATTTACCAGTTTACCGTTTATAATTTTGTGTTGTGAGTTGTGACTAATGTTTTGAAGTTTTTATGATTTTTCAACGGAAACCTGAATGTTTGAGACATTTTTCATGTTTTAAAATTATAAGTTAAAATTATGTTTTATTTTGTAGGATATTAGGATCCCAATCCCGATCTTGCAAACCCAAAAACGATCTTAGGTAGGAACTCGGTCTTGACAACCTTGCTACATAATGCATTACTATTGATTGCGAGTCATCAAAAGTTGAAATTTGTCTAGAACATGGAAAAAGGGGGGAGGGGTGTCAAATACGATTATCGGTGTGGGATGAAGTCATATTATGTGATGTGAACTCGGTTTTGTCGTATTGCGAATTAAGGAAGTTTGTGAAGTATAATGTAAGACCTAAAAACTTCCACTTTATGTTTTATAAGTGGTTATTTTTATAAGGAAGTGATATGAGAATTTTATGTTAATTATCTCACATGACACCAAACAAAATGAAGTTGCTTATCATCTTATTGCAGATTGTACTATGGCAATGAGTTGATAATCAAACTATGTTGTGGGTTCATGTTATAAAAGCCGTTCACGATGAAGACTGTCTCCTTAATCAGAATTTGATTGGTTATACCTAAATTGTTGATTGGTTGAAAATTGTTTGTGCGCTCTTACAACTTAGGAGTAAAGGACTACATTTAAGGTCTTTGTGTAGTGTTAAAGTGGGTAATGATCAACACACAGTTTTGGATGGATACATGGTTGGGTAATTTTACTCTTCGGCAAAAAAATCCCTAAAGTTTTTGCTCTTGATTTGAATTGCCAATGTTCGGTTGCGGATCATTCGATGTTGGAGACATCATCTTATATTTTGCATAAACAACCGAGAAGGGAGAGAGGGATCAGAAAAATGGGTTGAATTGAAAGTTCTTCGATCTTTTGCTGACTCATATCAAAGAGACAAATAGATTTCATTTGTAACAAGTAGGAGTTATTAACATATTTACACCAACTTGATAAGTATTTAGCAGATTCTTAAGTTTATTTGTGTTCCCTTTTCAAGTTGTAATTTGTATATAAACTGCCTGAAGATGGCTTCTTTTTTTTTTTTTTTTTTTATATCATATTTAAGATACTGATTATTTATACAATTGAAAAAAGAACAATGACCATGTTTCATGATTTCATCATGAAAACAACTTTTTTTTAACAAATTCAACATAATATGCAACTATTGACTCATATAACACAAAATTTCACTGGATTTGGCATTAAAATGTTTTGACTTCCCAAGTACTAACCCAAACCAATGCATATGTTAGGGAAATCAACATGTATTTCCTTATTTAAAGAAAATAAAAAAAAACAAAGCCATGATCCACCACCATCATATGCTTCAGTAATATCATTGGATTCACTGGAAAGTGGATTATAATTTAAAACTCCAAAATCTGCCAAAATCAAACACAATTTCAATCAATACTCATGGTATACTGATATCAATCTTAGCTACTACAACTTTAATGTAAAATCATATAATAAAAGAACACTGAACACATACACTTAACACTTCCATGTTCTATGAATCCGAGGGTGATTGAGGCTGCTGAGGTGGCGGTGGCCAAATGGCAGGACCCATATAAGGTGGAGCCTGCTGTGCATAAAGAGCAGGATCCAACATAGCCTTGTTTGACATCATCCCTGGTGCTCCTGACTGTGGTGACTGCTGAGCTGGCATATAATAGTAAGGAAAAGCATCCGAAGGCCCGCCAACTGGCACAGTGACAGCTGGCATAGATGTCATACCTTCATCTTTAATATCCTCTCTTGGGACAATATCAACCAAAAAGTCAAAAATATCAGTCCTTGTGATTGCAGCAGCAATATCATTCTTCTGTAATGTCCTTCTTTTATTCTCCTCAGTGTGATTCCATGACCTTAAAGTCAACTCCAATATGAACATTTCACATGCCCTTGCAAACACAATTGGTGCTTCTGCTGATATCATCCTCACATCTTCATCAGCTTTCATGATTTTCTTGATTCTTGCTAATGGAAGACTGTGGTTCTTGAAGTCAGTGACATTTTCGATTTCTCTGTATTGGTTTGCCCAAAATGATTGGAGTTGTTGTTGAAGTTGCTGTTGTTGTTGTTGTTGTTGGATTTGTTGATAAGCCAACTGTTGTTGTGCTAATTGAGCTGCTGTAGGCTGATTTGTTGCTTGAATTGCACCACCTACTTGTACTCTCCCAGGGGTCCCACTCAGTTGAGTTGACTCGTATGGATTTGTTGCATATGATAACTGAGTTACACTGCTCATCATGTTGCTAGATTGAGGCTGCCCATGCCCTTGTGGATCCATGATTAGATGCAAAAATGGTAGGTAAATTTCCTAAATCAAAAACATCATGTTAATCATGAAGAACATGATATATCTACTCACATCATTACTAAACAGAGATTGATTTGATTGGACTTCAGAATGTAACTTTCAATCTAAATTTTTTGAACTTCCATTCAGTAATTCGTAGCCAAAAAGGAAAAGGTTTTGCGATCGACAAGCAAAAAAAGGCGTATGAATTGTGTGATCTCGGAAGTACTAGCTTTCAAATTAAAAGGTGTAAATGTGAAGGAGACAGAACCTGAATCACGATTTGATGATAGACGAATGAGAAAGAAGGAGAGAGATCGTGAATCAGGTTAATGATGCAGTTCTAATGAACCATTTGAATCCTGCAAAATGAACATAATCGAAATCGATGAGTGAAATTCGGTAAATTGTGATATTTTTTAGGGGAAACAAGAGAGTGTTGATTCTTACACGCAACAGAAAGTTATGATATTGATCTTTGATCTTTGATCTTTGATTGTGTTCTTGATGGCTACGATCACCTTTCGTTCGTCTCGTTTCCTTGGGAGCAAATCCCAGAAACACTCACCGGCCAAACAAACTTTTCAAATGTTTTATGTTGGTATTTGACTATTTGCTCAAAGGAATTATTCTCTTAAATAATTCGATTAATATGTTCTTCTTTTTAACTTAAATTTTTAATTATTCCATGGGTCCCAGAAAATATTCTCTTGCTTTTGTTTTTTGGACAAATAATAAATGAAAAAAAAAATCAATATTTATTCCTTTATATGTTAAAAAAAATTATTAAAAGATTGAATCTTAATTTTCATTAATACATCATATTTTAACATGCCATTCCGGCTATAATATTATATTTTAACTTTTCTAGATTATAAAAATTATATTCCAAAAAACAATGAAATTGTTGTTTAATGACATCTTTATAAGAGAAAAATATAAAATTGTCTATTTTTTTTAAACAACAAATCTAATATATACTTAAACTACTTTTTAATTTCATATATGTCTAAGTCTAGGTCGGGACTTGAACCCTCAACCTCAAAACAAAAAAATTAATAATAATAATACACTTACCGATAGACTAAAAGCTCTTTATCAAAATTATCTAATTATGAAAATAATTTCCAAGATTTAGACGAACCCCCGAAATCATGAAATTGGCTGCAAAAAGTGCAACGGGACCAGGAATGGTGAATCGAGATGCAAATTTGAAAGAATGGGCTGTGAAATGGGCCGCTATTGTGGTCCCCACGTCATTTTTTAGGGAAAATGACATAAAAGCCCTTAAGTTTTCACAAAAATGTCGGTTTTACCATTGGACGTGTTTTATGTCCAGTAAAGCCCGAAGTTTTGTTTAATTTGTTCATTTTTACCCTTGTACCCGGTTTCCAGGTAACCTACCGGTTACCTAATGCCAGTAAAGCCTTTGAATTTTCAAAAATGTTCAGATTTACCCTTAAGTTTTTCAAAAGTGTTCGGATTTACCCTTACATTGATTTGACCCTGCAAAAAAGTTTTCCAAATGGCATCAATGATTTGACCCTGCAGTTTTTAATTTCAATAATCACAGTTTTAGTCCCTATTGTTTATAATTTGCATTGTAACTTGGTCCCTATAGTTAATAACTTGCATTAGTTACAGTTTTGGTTCGTTTGGTTTTAAATTTAGATAATTAGAGTTTTAGTCTCTATATTTATTAACTAGGTTATAACCCCTGCAAACACGGTCAGTATATTTAAAAATTTTATATAGATAAAAAATAATAAGTGTAAAAAGACCAAGATATTGTCGATTGTAAGTAGTTATGAATTAATTTATTAAGCAAAATAAACATAATAATGTTATTAGGATATGATTTTGTATTTTTAAATTTTGAATTGAATTTGATTTGTTACTAAAAAAAAAGAAATAATAAAAATCATAGAAAAATGTCACGTGTCAAAGAGACATTCTAAAACACTGACACGTGTCATTTTAGGTTTCATCTATTAGAAGATGTTGATGTAGATGTAGATGTAGATTTGTTTTAATTATAGTTTCGGTCCCTTTATTATTTAATTCTATAACTATATATTTGGCCAATGGAGTTTTTAATTTCAATACTTATAGTTTGGGTCCCTATAGTTTATAATTTTCAGTGGTTGTAGTTTTAGTGAGTGTGCCGCAGATTGAAGCCATTCACGGACGATTACGAGCAATTTTATTCGCTAAAGTTTTTTTTTTACTGTTATCTTGACAGTTTGGCTTTAATTAAAAAAAAATTTCTTTTCAATTTAAAACTTCACCTATATATACAAACACATAAACACACATCAAATATCTTATAACAAATACACTCAATAATAACAATATGAATAATTTTTTGGGTGTCATTTCTTCTTCATCTGATGATGATAAGTTGATTTTGTATACGTTGTTGTCTGATGCAGACGACCTTGGACATCAGGAAGGCGAAAGTTCAAATGGCAAGAAGAAACGAAGAAAGTCGATCAACCGGGATCGTATCGCGGCGAACGAACTTTTGGTACATGATTACTTTAGCCCTGATAGTTTATACGACCTATCGAAATTTGAGGATCGTTTTTGTATCAATAGAAATTTATTCCTACGTATAGCTACAGATTTGGAAAACAATTATGAGTTTTTCCAATTGAGATGGGATGCTAGAGGTAAACGTGGTTTTACTACGTTTCAAAATGCACAACAGCTCTTAGACAATTGGCGTACGGCATAGCCGAAGACGCTTCAGATGAATATTCGAAAATGTCTGCGAGAACCGGTCGAAAATGCACATATCTTTTTTGTGAGTATGTTATAGAACTTTACGGTGACATATACTTGCGAAATTCAACTAGAAGTGATGTCGAACAGTTGTATGCCGCACATCAGGCTAAAAATGGATTCCAAGAATGCCAGGTAGCATTGATTGTACGCATTGGGTGTGGGAAAATTGTCCCACTGCATGGCGAAGGCAATTCACTCGAGGTGATCATGGTGTGCCTATTGTTATACTAGAAGCAGTTGTTTCACAGGACCTCTGGTTTTGGCATACACTTTTTGGTATGTCAGAGTCAAACAACGAGTTGAATGTGTTTGGAGCATCTTTGTTATTTAACGATATTTTGCAAGGTAAAGCACCAAACATGTCATACGTTGTAAATAGACATGAATACAATTATGGATATTACCTAGGTGATGGGATATATCCAGAGTACGCTACATTTGTCAAATCATACACATATCCGACCGATGAAAAACGAAAATTATTCAAGTTGGCACAGGAATCTGCAAGGAATGATGTGGAGCGTGCATTCAGAGTCTTCAAACAGAAGTGACACATAATCAAACATCCAACACGAGCATGGGATAGGGAAAAATTGATGAAGGTGATGAAAGCGTGTGTTATTTTACATAAATGATAATAGAAGAAGAGGGTAAGACTATTTGTACATATAATGTGAACGATATGCTCAATCCACCTGCAGTAATACAAGTCGGCAGCCTTGCATACTTTACAATGCTTTTGGATATACAAAACAGTGAAACACATCACAATTTAAGTCAATATTTTGACTGAGCACATATGACAACGAAAATTTGAATACCGCAACGACGACGAGGAGGATGAGGATGCGAACGATGAGAACGAGGCCAACGATGAGGACAACGATGACGACAAGTAGTATTTTTTTTTATTTCAATGTTTTATTAATGTTTTTTTATTAGTAAAATGTATGTTGAATTTCAAAAATATCATTTTTATTTAAGTTAATGTTTTTAATTTAAAAAATATTTATGTATGTTTAATAATTGTGTTTTTTATTTAATATAATGTTAAAAAAAAATTTAAAAAGATAAAGAATATGGAGTGATAACTATTTACAATGGTTAATGAACATGTAATGGAGGTGACATGACATATAAATGACATCACTTTTCTAGTGAACATCTTGTGACCATACCGTTTAGCCTAACAAAGAAGTGGTCCGTATGTAATGGCAATATTGTATAAATAGTCTTTGTAATATGTTTGATAACGATATTACAGTTCAATAAATATCTAGAATAGTGTATACAAGTACACGTTTTCCATTAGGCTGGACGGAGTGGGAGCGGGAAAGGGGGTGAGGGAAGCTTCCCTCACTCTTGAACACCACTCCTTGGGTGAGGGAAACATCCCGCGGGAAAGAGGTAGGGGGAGGGAGTGCCGCACTCTCTCTCTTCATGCTATTGGACATTTTTTTTTCTTTTTTCTTTTTATCCTTTTTAATATTTATAAAATTATATACCTATCAAAAAAAATATAAAATATATATTAAAATTCATGGTTTTTAATTCCCTACAAAATGAGTATAATATATGTATGAAATATATTTTTAAAAAAATATAAAAAAATAGTGAGGGAAGCTTCTCACCCATTCCTTGGGTTTTAGGTGAGGGAAAAAAAAGTGAGGGAAAGAGTGGTGTAGCCCACAAAAAGTGAGGGAAACATCCCTCCCACACCCTCCCGTCTTATATATATATATATATATATATATATATATATATATATATATATATATATTACCAAAACCAAAATTTGTATGTGAGAGGATTGACTATTCATTCCACGTAAGCAGCAAAATGATTTCATACTTTTAATTCTTTTTTCATTTTCCTTCCTTTACTTTTATTTGTTTTTATATTTTGTACCCCTAAACTAATTTTGATGTTACAATTTTTATCCTTATAATTAAAATTCTCTTTACTTTTATTTGTTTTTATATTTTGTACCCCTAAACTAATTTTGATGTTACAATTTTTATCCTTATAATTTTAAAATTTATATATATTTATATTCTTTCTTACTTTTATTTGTTTTTATATTTTGTACCCCTAAACTAATTTTGATGTTACAATTTTTATCCTTATAATTTTAAAATTCCCTTTACTTTTATTTGTTTTTATATTTTGTACCCCTAAACTAATTTTGATGTTACAATTTATATTATTTCTCCTTAATTAATTTTTATTTAACAGTTTCAACCCTTATAATTTTAAAGTTAAATTATTAGTATTTTATACATTATAATTTGGTCCCTTACTATATTTTAAAGTTACATTTTGGCCTCTTATATAATTTTTTAATAATCTTTTTTTTATTAATTTCTTAAAGATACACTTTCAAGTCAATTGTTTGTATCCATGTTTTATTTTGATATTTTTGTGCTCCACTTTATATGATTTAATTGTCTTCGTTGTATACATTGTGTCAAACTGCGTTTTTTAACATACCGGAGCTTCCGCAAACGGATGGTCCAAACCCTAGTATATATTAATTGTCAAAATTTGTTTGTGAGGCAAAACACTGTTCATTTCAAAATCAGTTTCAACCGTCGGATAGAAAAGAGTGTAGATACCACGTAAAGTGGTGATCGCTGATTTACTATTGGGCCCAATTTCTAAAAAGGCAATGTCATACGTTAGCCTCCCCACTTATATTTAATTTTATAACTTTTTTTTATGTTTTTTTTCCTATTTTATATTTTTTATTTTCCACTTAGACTTTTAACTTCTTCTTTACCGATTCTTCTTTTATTCTATTCATTATTTATTATTTAGTAAAACTCATTGTTAAAATTAGTAACATTATTCATTTGTTTTCTATAAATTTTTTTCTTTTAACTAACTTTTATCTAAAAGCTTTTAATTTTTTTAATTTTAAAGTTAAATTATTAGTATTTTACAAATTGTCATTTTGGTTCCTTATTAGGTTATAATGTTACACTTTTGGTCCTTTATATTCGATAGGAACTTCGTTTTTATACTTTTCTGGTGCAATTTCCATAGAAGTTCTTCGCCCCAACGCTCGCAGTGACTAAATACTAGTTCCATTTTATTTGGCAAAACAAAGGGGTTTCTTCCATTCCATTTAATTAATGAAAGAACGGATGAGATATTAACTTGGAATCACTAGAACTATTACAAAAGGGCATTTAAGACATTTAACATTGATTGCCATACGTATGCTACCAATTTGACAATGAGAACTCTGATATACAAGTATAGTATTTACACAAGAACTACAACGCCATATAAAAAGCCTATTCTAATGATGATGATGATGCTATACTATCTGTTTTCTTTCTTTTTCTTGATAGTGATAGATATTCAAGAAGAGAGGGAGTTTACTTATGTTTGCATCAAACATTATCTGGCCAAAACTCCCTAAAGAAAGCACGTTGGAATTCATTCTCTTGTAACCTCTTCTCAATTTCTTGAGCTTTCTTCATCTTCTTTGACAACTTTGCTTTACTTTTCTTTGATAACTGAAAACCAACATTCAGATAAACATCAGTGAGGTAATTACTAATTACTAACAAAAAAACAAATTTAAAGATGAAATCCAAATGCATCAAAACAAAAGGGCAACTTACTTTATCATTAGTCTTATCAGAAGCCAAGTTTTTTTGATCCCCTGTGTTCTGTGGTTTCTTTATCTCTGCTGCACCCAACCCTCGTTTGTTCTTCTTTAAAAATGCCTGCACAGGCTCCAACCTTCCCTGTTTAAAGAAAGAATAGATTAGTTGCTTCACAATGAAACATCTGCATCCGAGTCTGATCAATCACAAACGAACAACAACTTGATGTGTAACATTGAATAAGAGCACATCGAAAATCTACTTAGAAAGTCACATTAGGGTTTCCGAATAGGTCAACTTACCTGTTCAGAAATACCAAGGCCGGTTCCTTCTTTCCAACCGTGTTTTTTCAGCAGCTTCATGAAAAAAAAAACGAAAATACAATTACAAACTAGGAATTGAACAATTGTGTAAAAAGAGATGGAAAGGAAAAGTATATATGGAGAAACATCAAAGAAAGATAATTTCACCTGAAAACCAATATTAGAGGAGGAGATGGGCGTTGCAGTAGATGAACCCTCCGAATTCGACATTCCGCTGTAAGTTCTCCGGTAAAGTCTCCACCAGTTGGCTGAGTTTTGCGATCTTTCGGTACTCCGGCGCAAGACTCTACCACCTGCGGTGAAATTCGATTTTTTGATTTGATAAGACCTAGAATGGCGATGAAATTGGGGGAAAAGAAATCTGCGCAGTTTTAATATTTAGGCTAAACTGCAAAAATGGTCCTTGTATATTTTTTTTGAGTTTTAATTCAAAAATCGACCTTTTTTTAGATTTGTGGTCCCTTGAAGTTTTGAGTTAGGTTCATTGTGTATTTGTTCCTCTGAATATTGAAATAACTGTGATATCCTTGAGGTATTTATTTTTCATTTTTCTTTCATTTTTTTAAAATCTAATAGTTATGTATTTATTTTAATAATTAAAAAGTAAGAGGGACCCACCCCCTCTCTATCTCTCTCTCTTTCCAGACACAAAAAAACTACATATCCCCACCTAATCTTTGACTCTTAGATTACAGAAGTTACCTCTTCCAACCTCGCATCTACCAATAAGAATAATTCCAAAAGAACCACCAACTATGGTGTTCGTGAGGATTTGGCTACCGTCATCGGAGAACAAAACTCAACTCCATCTGGCTGCCGGCACAGGGGGTGTGATTTTTCTTCTTGCACGCAGTGACACATATACAAACGTATACCTAAAACACCCCTGTTCTTCAGAAATTTATGATACCATAACTGATAATCAAAAGAAGTATAAGCCAACCCTACAATTGATTGAGAAAAGAAGAGGTGGGTCTCGATTTATCTCTCTTCTTTGCTACCATATTACATGCACAAGGAGATCCCCAAGAAACCTGGTTCTTCAATTTCTTTGACGACCTTTAAGAGCCGAAATCCTGTTCATAAATTTACACACACAAAATATAAGAAATACTGAGAATTGCCTTTGTTTTTTCATCCTTTTACCCAAACCTGGTATTTAATTAGCACAACAGCTAGTTCTCTACCTGGATTCAGATTTTCAAGAAGGATCGATTCAAACCCAAATTGTGATTTTCAAGAAGATGATAAAGTACCATTCGTATGCAAATTCATTGTAACATCCCGAAATAAGGTACATTTTATCATTTCTTGAATCTTTATCAAAAGTGTCAAATTTGGTCCTTCATAAAAAAAAGGATTGCAAAAGTGGTTGTATGTGGGGCGTACATATGAATACGCGCAGCGTACTCATGCAACATGCATGGATGCGGATGGCCAGCTAGTACGATGGGCGTAGATGTGGTACGTCAGGCGTACTAGCCCAGATGTTAAACCCCAATTTTAAGGGTTGCCCCTATTTAAAGAACATCATGACTTCATTTCTGGCCACCCTTATCAACCTTCAACCCTCCCATAAACCCTAACCTCATGTGAGTTGCTTATGTGTGTTATTGCAAGTTTTGAGTGTTCTTGGCTCTTGTAGTAGAAGAAGGAGGTTAGAGAAGAAGAAGAAGGTGCTAACAAGCTTGAAGATCCAGAAACTTCCCACCTTTATGTATCATTTCAGGTATAAATTATATACCTTGACAAGTGTTCTTCTAGATCTCTTTGGCTTAAGATTTATGAGCTAAAAGTCCCTAAGTTTGGACCTTTATGAGTTTGGGACTCTCCAGAGGATTTAAGTTGTCCTTTCATGCATATTAGGACATTTAGATTCATATAAATGCTTGCTTGATCTTCCCCTTTGGCTCATGCATGAGTAAAGTAGGTTAGAATGGATGAAGTGATGCTTTGAGCCTTTCATTGCCATGCAATAGCTTAAAGCCAATGACTTTATGGATTAAGAGGTCTTAAATTAGTCAGATTTGTGGTTAGGTTGGTTATCTTAAAGGATTAAGGTACCAACTTAGTGAAATTAGAGGCTGATGGAGTACGTCGGGCGTACTCTTGGCTACGCGCAACATAGCCTGATCCTTCCTCTATGAGTGATGACCCTGTCGTACGCCCATCGTAAGGGGTTATACGCTCAGCGTACGCACTGAGTGTTGAATTTTTTTGACTTTGACCCTTGGTAAAGTTTTAGGGTTTTTGGACAATGAGAAGGGTAAAATGGTCCTTTTTCCCTTAGAAGGTTTAGCCGTGGGATTTGGACTCGCAAGTGGGGTTTTGACCTTAATTATTAATTAGGGTTAATTATTTTATTGACTAGGCGGAGTCTAGATCCGGCAGTTCGGGTGCTAGGTTTTCGTGTCGTCAGTATCAGGTGAGTCTCCTCACTTACTATTACCTGTATGGTAGGATATCTCTATTTATGATGACCAGTCGGGTCTATCTGTTATGACTATGTTATGCCAATTATATGTAACTGGGGCTGCTGATAGCCAACCTGGGTTGCTGATAATCCATTGAACGTGTTGTTAGCTCATCGGGACTGTTGATAGTCCTCATGGTTACTGATAACCCATAGTTGTTTTTGTATGTTATGTTGTATGAGGTATCTTGGAAAACTCACTAAGCTTTGTGCTTACAGTTGTTTATTTACATGTGGCAGGTACTTCTCAGGACCACGGGAAAGCGAATGTATGATTGTACACACACGCGCTGGGAGGATTTACTATTGGGACATGTTATGAACTCTGATAATTATGATACTAGTTGTTTTTGGATAATTATGTATTTGATAACTTGGTTGTGAAATTCTGATTTTAGTAATTTAAAAATGAAAATTTTGGTCTAAAATTTGAGGTGTTACATTCATAATGTGGTAACCCAAATTTACAATGACCAATTTCACCTTACTTTGTATCTTCTATTTTTTAAAACGTTGTCACCGAAATCGACACCAATTTCACCGTCACATCCAAGGAAAACGACAAATACATTGATTTTGCAGACACCGGAATCGACGCTCCTCATCCCACCCACCACCGTATTGATTGAACTCCGACCATTGTTATCGTGTCGTCGATTATGCTTGCTTTGATTTTCTCCTTTTTGTGGGTTCATATCTTGATATAGTTAAAGGAAATGGTAATGAGATGGGGTAGCTGATGACGGGAGAGAGAGAGAGAGAGAGAGAGAGAGAGAGAGAGAGAGAGAGAGAGAGAGAGAGAAAGAAAGAAAGAAAGAAAGAAAGAGAGGCCAATTTATTTTTATATTTGTTTAAATATTAAAAAAGGAATAAAGGTATTTTAGTCTTTTCAAATTGGAGAGGGACCTTTTCCACACACAAACATGGCCAAAATGACCACCAATCTGTCACACCCCAAAACCGGAACGGCGGAATCGTTCGGGGATGGAGGACGTCATGTTCAGTATCACAACAATGCAAAGTAGTAAACAAGCAACAACATCATCCATTGCATTAATAATATAGTTTCATACAAGTGTGTTTTGTCAAGTTATATAGACACCAAAAATATACATCAAAATAAAAGATGGGTCTTGAATGAGCTCCATCTTCTTAAAACCTGGCACCGGTACCTGTCTACTGGTGACCTGAGAATACAAGTTATTTTGAAAGAGTTTATCAGCATTAAAGCTGGTGAGATCATAAGTATATTAATGTGTGTATTTGTATGAAAGTGTTTGTAAGTCTGTAATTGTATAAGTTTGTAAAAGTTTGTAATTGTTTGAACTCTGCTAGAAAACCCTATGTTTCCTACTAAAAGTAGCCTTCTACCAAGGCATCTAGTATCTGTGTGTGTGTCTCTTGTAAGAGTGTATATTTTCCCAAATCCTACTATCATTAACCAAAAATATAGTTTTTACATTATTGTTTATTGTGTGAAGATCACAAAGTAAATGTAATGGGAAAATGAAATAGTACTGTAGTGTTGTATTAAGTAACTACTGCTGTACTAACTACCTTAAACCAAATGTTATTTAAAGTACCATGTGATCGGCCTGTATCCTGCTACCGACTCTATAGGAAAACGACGATGTAAGACGTCGTAAGAAATGACGTTTGGCACCCGTAGGATAGTCAATCCAGTATAGATCTATACACAAACTCATACGCTCCCCACTTAAGGAGATTATGGATACAAAACGGTCATGACAGGTAGTGTCATGCCCCGTTACGTGGCTCACATAAATGTAATAATGTTCTAGTATATGTATGTGCTACTAGCTGTATTGTGTGTTCTCTCCCTGTCTAGCATGTATTGTTTGTTTCTCATCATAGTATTCTATTGTTTGTTTCTCATCATAGTATCTATTGTTTGTTTCTCATCATAGTATCTATTGTTTGTTTCTCATTATCGTATCTATTGTTTGTTTGTTATTGACTCATGTATGAACTGACTCATTGTATGTTTCCCCGTTCTAGTAATAGTATTAGTATCTCCCTAAACTATACCTATTATAGTTTACTAGTAATGTTGTTTGAATGTATGAACATGTTTGTGCACCTTTGCTACCCAAAGGTATTGAACTGAATGAAGTAACCTTTTATATCTATACATATACACATGATATATAACTAGGATTCAAACGACTTTCGGACAAATAACCTGAATACCCTAAGTCCACAACCAAACAAGGAACAGGAAGTAAGGTGAGCTATCAGTCCTAAGTCCTTTCAATCCTACTTATATAACTATATCTACATAGATACACAGAATATAAGTTAAAAGAGTTTAATAAAAGTATTTGATATGAAAAAGAGTTTGTAAAACAGTTTGAAGTAAAACAGTTTGAAAAGTAAGAAATCCACTTGTTTGGTAGTTATTAATCACATGTGATTGATAAAATAACTATAATAGTTCAACTTGTATTCCCCCCATAAAAGCATTTAAAAATAATTAAAAGGTTAATTAAGGGGTATGAACTCACTTGTAGTGAGTGGTTTGGAAGAACTAATGATATAGGATTGCTAGGTGTCAAGTGAAGACTTGTACACACACAATGATCATAGTTAACATATAATAACACATATATGTATCCAATTAGTTTTTAAACAACTAATTAACAAAGTTAAGACATCCTAGGACATGCAAAACACCTTATTTAAGTGTTATAAGTGCCAAAGATTGCATCTAAGTGTTGTAGGACATTGTTATTGGGTTTAGGGTTCATGGGTAAACTCCCTTGGAGTTTACGGTTTTGTGACCATCACTAAATGAGTTTACGGTCTTAAACCCATGAGTTTACGGCCGTAAACTCATGGTATTTTGACCATTTTGAGTTTTGAAGCTTTAAAGATCATGAGAAGCATTCCTACATCATGTTTAAGCCTTAGGAAGTGTTTAGGGCACCATTTCACTCCTTTGTGGAGTTTACGGTCCTTGGACCATTTGTCTTTGGGTTTATGGCCGTAAACCCAAATGGTTTATGGTCTTTTGATGTTTTCAAGTATTAAGCACATCAAGGAAGGGTCTAGGCTAGTTTCCAAGGCTTGGTAAGGGACTAGGGCACACTTTGGCACCCTTTTTAGGGTTTACGGTCCAAGAACATCTTGGACCGTAAACACCTTTGATCTTGTGTTTCTTGGGTGTTTTCTTGATGATTAGAAGTGTAACAAGTCTTATAATACTCTAGGGTAGAAGTACTTACTAGGTAGAAGCTTGAAAAGGTGCTAAAAGTCCAAGAACACTAGTGTGTGTTCTTGGTGTTCTTGGTGATACTTGAAGATCTACACTTTTGGAATGATTTCACGGATGGAATCATGTAAGATCACTAGATTAAGTAAGATATCAACTTTTTAGGGCTAGAAACACTTACAAAGTTGAAGATCAAGAAGAAAAGTCGGATGATACTTGAGAGGATTTGAGTTTGGATCTTGAAAATGTGAAAAAGTGGTAAATAATGACTAAGTGTCATATTTATACCCCCTTTAGGGTTTACGGCCGTAAAACACCTTTGTTTAGGCCGTAAACTCCAAACTCTTGGAGTTTTGGGACATTATTGTTGCACAATAAACCCTAGGGCATTCTCTCTCCTGTTATCTCCCGAAGTACTAACTTTAAAACACTCAAACTTATTCCAAAAAACTTGAAAGTTAGTAGAAACTGTTCTGACTTCTATTGAATTGAATGGTTGTACATAATGGAAATTTCGGGTTGTCACACAATCCAAAAAAGTCGGGGTTTGGAACAAAACCCGAAAAAAATTCATACCATAAGGACCTTTTGATGGGTTTTGAGCATAACATCATTTATGTGGTGTACATGCAACCATAATGCTTTGGATCTAGGTTTTCCTCAAGTTATACATGCAAACAATCTTGCAAAGCATAAAACCTAATCTAACATGTCAATGAACGAAATTCATATGTAAATAAGGGTTTGGAACCTTACCTTACTTGTTATGTAGTAATAACAAGAACAATCCACAAAGTCCTTGACTCTTGAAAGCTTAGTGTCCCAAGTGTTGCACCTCTAATGGAGTCACAAACACTCTATGCAAAGGATGAAGTAGGAGAGAGGAGATTTCGACCTATCTAGGATTTCTTAAGCCTTGGACGAAAATCCCTTGGTCATGGGGTCTATTTATACTTGTGTCTGCTAGGGTTTTAGGTGGAAACCCTAATATGACTGCTTAAGCCTTAAGCAACCCATGGACTCCTTCCTTAGAGCCCTTGGACGAAATCTTATGGGATTCCCCATAAATTCCGTCCACTCCACTCGATAAAGTCCATCAGCCCATTTATACAACTATCAATGATTTGCATAACAGTCCCTAATTATTTAACCAGTCTCTTTTGACCACCAAATTAATTCCAAATTAATTTCTGATCAATACTAATTAAATAATATGATTTCCAAATAATATATTAATCTTGTAATATATTAATAAAACCATTTTGAGTACGAATTTATTATTCACATAATAAATTCTACTCTCTCTCCTCTTGTCATCCTATCAAGTTGCATGAGTGAAGGCAACCCAAAAGGACAATGCTCATAATCGGGTCAAGTACATACCAAGAATAGTTATGGGCTTAGACACCTAATCCAACAGTCTCCCACTTGGATAAGTCTAATAACTATTATTGCAAGTACGACTTCAGAACCTGATTAGCAATCATAGCTTTCAAAAGCCGTTGTCGAACTATGATCTTATCAGCAACGCATCCTTTAGATAAGGGATCATATATTCATCCATTCTCAAGATATCGTATAGACATGAGACATGGATTATAATCATTCTCTCTGTCTATGTGTTGTTTCCCGATTTCCGATTTATGAAAACTGACTAATTGAACAGATCAAATTAGTCCAGGCTTGGCCAAGCGCTTTGGGGTGTCATCACTAAATCATCGAGGGGCCCACAGATATCGCTTATATCCCACTTTGGGTAAAAGGAACGGATAAATTTCGACTCATATGCTTGCACTGTTTACTCATCAAATCACACACAATAATACATTTTATAACATCAAGTTATTGATGCGTTTACGCATTATCAATGTGCAACTGACTCGTAAACAATAACTCATATCTCTCCGTTTCAAGAATATAAGATATTATCGTCTCACAATCACTCGTGATAAAATCCATGAAGTGATTCGCGTGAGCGTGGGTTTAATCCAATTCTCTAATCTTATTACATGAGTACTCATGAACTCTGCAACAAACTTGTGCTATGTCTAAAAACTTTAGACAATCTACAGACGGATTCATGACATTCTTGCCTCAATACTTACTTCCAACGTATGATCGACTGTGGATGTTTGAATAATCTTATTATTTGGGAAGTCAAAACATGCGAACTGAAACACAAGAATAATCGAATCCAATGTGGTCTCAACCTTTTGAGTATAAATAAAACACCTTTTATGTAATCACCATATTGATTACACATTATTCATTCTATAATGTTTTGAGTAATCAACTTACTACTTGAATTGAAATAATAGTTATCCCATGCTCCAAGCATGCATATTATGTTTACCTATGGTCCTCACTTTGTGAAATAGATCAATTGAACACATTACCAATGTGATCATTTCACAACTCCTAATCCTTATTATAAGTGTAAGAATACCAAATTATTGCCACTAT